CCCCCCAAGTGCATTGCGAGCATGCGGCTGTTCAGTGGACATTGACCAGCAGCTTCCCCACCATCATGCAATTGTGGTGGGCTTTAATGTCGATGTTGTAACCAAGCTGTGTTTTCCCTGTAGGTCGGCCCAAAAGGTCCGAGGCTTATGGGGTTCAAACGCGGGCTTCACACCACGGTGGCAGGGGCAGCCGCCAACCCGAGCTCGGCCGCCCTGGGGAGTTGCGTGCGTTCACTTGCCAGCGCCACGCCTGCGCGACTGGGCATTGATCACCGCTTCTCCGAAGCGTCACCCTGAGGTTTTGCAGCTTGGCACACAAATGCGCTGCAGATGCGGCTGGTGAACGTGGTCAATGCAAATTGGGTCGTGGTCTACGGCCCTGTCAGGTCTCTGCACACCGGCTGCCAACGCCGCTGCGCCCACCTGCGGGGCTGCCCTGGTAGCGTTTCGCGGAGTGTGTCACATCAGGCCTCACAAGGAGTGGATTTTTTTGGGTGCGGTGCCGGAGAATGTCGCGGACACCCCAGTTGAAAACGTGGCGAGCCCTCCAGTCAGGCCCTCGACACTTGGTGCCTCTCGGCACCACCGCCAGCCTGTCATCCGCGACACACGATCATCGTGTGTTTGTGGTGTAGTTGTCTGTCGGTAAGCGCGTGCTCTGCCACATAGCACACGGCACAGCCTCACTTGCAGCGTTGCCTTTTTTGTTCAATGTCTTTTTCACAGCGCTTCTCCCAAGTTGTTGACCAGTGGGAATATGCATATCGTGCAGATTGGGAGGAGACGTATGCAGGAGTTAGTCAAGGTACATATCTGCCAAGTGAGCATCACAGGAACAGCGATCGAGAGGACGCGCCAGATGAGGCCTGGACAGTCCTCCCCCAGGGCGGCGAGAGCGCGCACACCAAGTGACATCAGGCAGCATCAACATGGCGGCCTGCAGCACACAAACATTCCCGGCGACCCCGATTTCGTCACATTTGCACAACTGGTACCAACTTAGCTCGTTGTAGCGCAAGTTTTTGAGATCACTCCTTGAAGGTAGAGCCTGTAGAGGTGTTTAAGCAGCAGCCATGCCATCCGCGGCACAAGTGCGATCGCTGATGCGGCAGTACCTGCGGCTAGGGCGCACATTTCCGAACTACAACATTAGAGAGTAAGCGCAGGGCGGCAAGAGCCTATTAGACTGGTCGCAAGGCGTACTTCGATAGCAATCAGATTCCTTGAACGCGCGAGGTGCTGCCTTGCGTCCGCACAGCAGGCGCAGCGCGCTGTTCGCAGCCGCACTGCTGCGTCGATGAATGCTGGCACGTGCTTGGCGCAGCACCAGCAACGCGTCCGTCTGCAAGCGCTTAAGTCCAGCCCAGATCTGCCAGGCAGCTGCACAGTGCCTGCCCACCCTTGATAGCCCTGAAACACGCAGCAACCCTTGATGTGCCACCCTAATCACCGCCACTGCCACCACGGTCCGCCCCTGCCGCCGCTGCCGCCCCGCAGCTACCTAGTTCGCAAGGCAAAGGGGGACGCGCGGCGGCTAGCGTCCCAGCCGCCAGCCGACGAGGCGGCGGCGGAGGCGCTTTGGCAGCGGGCGGTGGACGACCTGGCGGCGTTCCGGCGGCAAGAGGTGGTGTACGGCCTGTATGGCCGCAAGTTCAAGACAGTGCTGGTGAGGCAAGGGTGTATTCGGCCCTGCAGCTGCGTTTTGGAAGGCTGCCAGGATGATGCGCCTGACAGGGGCCTTGCGGTTTATGGACGCGTGCTTTCGTACGTGCCGTGCGTGCCCGTGTGTGGTTGCGTGCTTAGCTAGTCGTTGGTTCGGGGGGAAGAAAATGCAGTGCGCTTGGCTCAATTTGGGTGCATCCCGCCATCCAAGGGAACCTGACCTTTGTGAGTGCGTGGCTGGGCTACTGCGGTGGCAGCCGCTTGCTTTGGGCAGCTGTCCAAGCACAAGTGCAAGCGGGCGTGCCGTCAAGGCCGCCGCCTCGTTCTGACGCTCGCCCCAGAAGTGTGCCGCTGGCCTGCCGACGCGCCTCACTTCGAACCCGCCCCTGCACTGCTTACGCACGCAGGAGCTGGATCACGAATCCGCGGCGAAAGCGGCTGAGCGACCTTCTTAGCGCTTTTTCCGCTGCTGGGCAGCGAATGAGCTGCAGCGTGCTGCATATGGCTCCACTGCCCTGTCAATTTCTGGTTGTGTACGTTTGGGCTGGCATGTTGTGTTCTGTTTGTGTTGTCATCCTGTTTTTAATGATCGTCATTACCGCATTGCTACTTCACAATGACAACTTGGAATGCGTGTGGCTGGGCTGCGAGCATGCTTGGCTAGCTAGGCAATCAGTGGTGCACAGTAACGCGCAACGCTTCCTGATTTGGAGCTGGGGCGGCAGAAATGATTTGGTACGCATGCACTAGCAGTTTCGTGCTGATTTGCGGCATTCGTGCAGCATGGCTGCAGCATTTCCTTGACCGCCTCCTCAGCGCAGCCGGGGGTGCGTGACCTGCCAGTGATTGCCTGAAAAAGGGGGCAACACAACTTCAGGTGAGGCCCCATGACGGGTGCTGCTGGCCCTGGGATTTGGTCATGCGGCGCTCATTGTGGCCCGGACAACGTCCGCGTGCCTTTTTTGGGAAAATGCGCCGCAGGACTCGCCGGCCTCGTCCACGGCTGCTCGCAGATGGGTGCTGAGCGGGGGGGTGCCAGGTCAGCGCGCTGCTGGGTGCGCCTGGCGTTCTGTTGCGCCACGACTTCCGTGACACCCGTTCTTCATTTATGGGCCTACTCCAGTGGCTGCCTTGGCGCTGTGGCTGCCGTTTGTGCTCATGAGTAAGTGGCAGGGGGCCTGATGCAGCTCAATGCCAGTGTTTGACCTAGCAGCCCGGCTGGGCTTGTTGATGGCCTGTGCGGCTGGGTGGACTGCGGTCCCTCACATGGCTCTTAGACCGCGAGCTGCGACATGATGGTCTGCGCCATTTGAAGTCATGACAACTCAGCACATCAAGGGCTCGAAGTCCCAGGTGTATGGTGCGCACGCGCATGCTTGTGCACGCGGCGGGGGCCGTCGCAGTCCGATCAAGTTTGAGGCAGGCTTGTTACACGGGGTGATGAGGCGGCGGTAGCGGCCGCCCCGCAGCCGACAAACGTGAGCCGCAGCCCTCATCCGGGCCCGACGCGCGGGATGTCGTGGTGCTCGCTCAGGCCGGCCAGGTGCTCATTGAAGTCTTTCACGCGGTCCCTGTACCCCTTCGCCGCCACCTTCTTGAGCCGCTCCTCCTCCAGCCGCGCCATCTTCTCGTCGCGCCGCCGCTGCGCCTCGGTGCGGCGGTCCTCGCCGTCGGGCGGCGGGGGGGGCACGAAGCCCTGCAGCTTGCTGGCGGAGGCGGCGGCCTTCTCATCACCGCCGGCGCCGCCGTTGCCGTCGTCGTCCTCCTTGGCCTTTGTTTTCTTCTTCTTCTTCTTGACGCCGCCGGCCGACTTGAGCCCGTCGCCCCCCTTCAGGTTGAGCTTGCCGCCGACAAACGACATGGCTGATCTGGTGAGACGGTTGCTGGGCCGAACTGCCCGCAGATCTCGCCGCCGCTGATTACGTGCAGGATCAGAGGCTTGCTCTTGATCAGCGTGACGCCACAAGAGCTGCTGGTGGTTGGTGCAGAACCCTGCTGCTGACGCACGGAATCAAGGCTGCCTGATGCTGCCGCTGGTGCCGCTATGCGCGCGCGGTGTCACTGCTGCTTCTGCTGCTCGGCAAACTTGGGGTCGGCGGTTACGTAGTGGTAGGCGACAAGCAGGATCATGATAGTGAAGCCCAGCCAGCTCTGTGTGGGAGGGCGGGGCGGGGCTGGGGGTTGGAGGTGGCTCATCCAGCGTCCGGAAGTTTCGAAGTGAGTTAGCAGCGTGCCGCAACAGCTGCGCAACAGCAAGCCTGTGCGCTTGACATGCAGCTCGTTTGCACGCAGAATCGCGAAGTTTAGCACGAGCGCTTGCGGTTGTGCAGCCTGCTCAGAGCCCGCTTTGCGGATGGCTGCAACCGGCGGTGCAGCAGCGCGCATCGATGGCGCTTCGCGCTGCCACACTGCGTGGACAACAGGCATGTTGTATATGCTAAGACCCACCGTGAACTTCCCGAGATCCCTATCGTCGATCATGGCTCCGCGCGGGCCCCAGTGGCCTCCGTTCGGAGTGCTAGATCACACCTGAACAGGTGGTGATTGAACGTGTTATTGATTTCGGATCATGCAAGCCTCATTTCATCATAGCAACTGATCATGTCACTCGAGCTGTCTCGGCGAACTCGGCTAGGATCGTGTGCAGGCAGAGAGCAGCTGCTAGGAAGTACCCTGCCTCAGAATCCTTACTCAAACGGGAAGCCACGAGCACAGAAGTCTTCAGCATAGCCCTGACCAGACTGCACATGCCGGAGCGGCGGCGGTATTGCGGGGTCTCCGGCCGTTGCCACGCCAGCCGGACCCAAAGCGTCCGGACCCAAAGCGTTGAAACACAGCATGGCGCACAAGTCCGGCGGCCGCACGCCGGACTTACAGCATGGCGCCGCCTCTGCGCATGCTCCTGACCTCTGGGCGCAGCCGGAGGACGAGCGGAGCCTCATGGCCGGCGGGCCTGGCGAGAGCGCAACCGTCGCCGCAACCCGCACCAGCAGCGACGACGGCGCACTCTCGCGCCACCTGCGCACCGCACTCTCCGTCTCAGCCCCGGCCAGAGCAGCACTATCGCCCCCGCCAGCCGCGGCGGCCGCAGGCAAGGGGACCCCGTCCCCGCGCGGCGATGACGAGGGCGAGGAGGGCGGCGCGTTCTCGCGCCTGGCGAGCGGCATCGAATCGCGCCTCGTGTCGTGGGGCGGCGGCGCGGACGAGGGCGAGCTGTCGGAGCTGTCCGGCTGCCGCGGGCCCCCGGCGGCCGTCTGCAACGCGCTTTTCGCATCCCACGCCCTCGCAAGGTGCGGCCGGGCGCTCCCCACTGGGATCGCTGGAGCCGCCGCCCGGAAAAAAGCTTCGCGCCCCGCGAGGCGCTGGCCCCCAGTGCACGCACGGCGCCGCCTACCGACCGCCGCTTGCAAATGAGGGAGCCGCGCCGACGCAGAATGCCCCGTCCCCCTCGCTCCCGTCTCCGCTTTCACACTCGCTTTGCACAGGTGGGCGTGGCGCACCTGGGAGTTTGCGGTCGCGCTCGTCCTCATCCGCCTGTACCCCGGCTCCCTGCGGCTCATATCCGCCTACGGGCTGCTGGACAACCTCGTGCGCGTCGTCGGGGGCGCGCCCGTCGGCGCCTTCATCGACAGGTGCGCCCTGCACATAGGCCGCCGGCCCAAGGCCGCCTTGGAGCAGGGGATTCAGCAGGCGGGCGCGGCGGGAGGGGCCCGCTCGAAGCTGCAGGAGCAGCGCGTGCCCGCGCTGCGGACGCGGGAGCGGGCAGGGGCCGCGGCGCACAGCATGGAGACGGCTCGGCGGCGGCGGCGGTGGCGGTGGCGGTGGCGGCTGGTGCACACTATTGCATCGAGCCAAGAGCGCGCCGCGCGAGCGAGGCCGGGGAGCCGGTGCCCGCGGCTCGTGCCTCGCTCCGAACGCGCCGCACGCTGTGCATGGCTTGCCTCCTTCTCGCGCCCAGGTCGGAGCGGCTGCGGGGGGCAACCACGATGTACCTGCTGCAGAACGCCTGCATCCTCGCGTCCGCGGCCGCTGCGGGCGCGCTGCTGTGGCTGGCAGGCGGCAGTGACGACCCCCTCGCAGCAGTGGGGCCCGCGGTGCGCGTGCGATGTGGCGCGGCGGCTCGGCAGGCTGACTGCCCTGACGCGGCTGCAGCTTGCGTCTGTGCAGCTTTGGGCTCCAGGGAAAGCCAAAGTTTACGCCATCAGCAGCACACCTATTGTTAGGAGCACATCGACCCAAACAACTCAGCTTGCTGCAGCCTCCATCATGTTCAGCAGTATCCCTACCCCAAGCTGCCAGCGCCAACAACCAATGGACGCACTGACCGTACACGCCTTGCCACACTTCGCCAACCCTGCCGCACCGCCAGGTGTACTGGCCGCTGGTGACCGTGGCCATCGCCGTCGGCTGCACCAGCAGCGTCGGCTCGATGGGCGCGGCCGCGGCCGTGGAGCGGGAGTGGGTCAAGGCGCTGTGCGGGCCGGACACCCTAATGCTGGCGCGCATGAACTCGGGTGCGCGCGCCGGGTCGTCGGGGGTGAGCGCGGGGCTCAGCGCTAAAAGGATGCGGCCCGCGAACGTGTGCTTGTGGCGCAACACGCATGAGCCCAGGCGTCCTCGCCTCAAATGATGAGCGCCCCCTGTTTTACCCTTGAACCCTGTTCGCGCCCGCCCGGGCCTCCTCGGCCCTGCCTGCCCTCTAACCGCCGCCCCTCAGTCATGCGCGCCATCGACATGCTCTGCCTGATGCTGAGCCCGATGGCGGCCGGATTCCTGATGACGTACGCCGGCATGCTACCGGCGGTACTCGCGATCGCGGCGTACGCATTAGTCGTGTGGGCGCCCGAGTGCGTCCTGCTGCGCGTCGCCCACCGCCTCTCGCCGCAGCTTAGGTGCGCGGCATCGCTTTTTCTGGGTGCCGCATGCACATTTTCACATGCACTCAGCCCCTCTGTATTGCTCATCTCAGTCTGCGGGATGCACACCAACCCCTGAGCTTTGCACGTGGACTCCCGCAGGGGATTGACGGAAGCTGACTGTGTGCGCGCCGTCAAACCCCCTCCCCTTCAGGGAGCCCAAGGCCGCGCCGCGCGCCGAGGCGCCGCGGCAGCGCCCCCGCGTCCCGTTTGCCGCACTCTGCTCCGGATGGGGCGTCTACCTGCGGCAGGCGACGCTGCTGCCGGCGCTGGCGCTGGCGCTGCTCTACCTCACGTGCCTGTCCCTCGGGTTCCTCATGACGGCCTTCCTCACATTCAACGGCATGAGCGAGGTGCTTTCGGGAGGGAAGGGGCGGCGCCATTGTTGCCTCGGAAAGCTCAAAGGAAGCGACGCGCAAAATCTTGGCCAGGATGCTCCAGCCCCCACTGTTGGATGGCCGAAACACTTGCATTTACCCGCCCAGCACTCAATATTTTGGCCGTACCCCCGCTGCCACCATGATGACGCAGGCCGCCCTGTCAGTGTTCCGCGGCATCGCGGCTGCCTCGGGCCTCCTCTCAACGGCCATCTTCCCGCGCCTGCACCGGGCGGCCGGCCTCACCGCCGCCGGCGCCGCCGGCTTTGCGTGGCTCAACGCCTGCCTGATAGCAGGCACAGCGCCGACCGTCGCCGCCGCCATCCTTGGAAACCCTCTCTCGAGCTGGAGCGCCGCCGCCGCCGCCCCCGTAGGCGACCACGCGGCCGGCGGGCCGGCGGCGGCGCCGGGCGGCGCGGCCACCGCGGGCGGGGCTGCTGCCGGCGGCGACAAGTTTGGCCTGGCGTCGTCGCCGCTGCTGGCGCTGCTGATGAGCGGCCTGGCGCTGTCGCGGCTGGGGATCTGGCTTGCTGACCTGGCGGTGTCTCAGATGCAGCAAGAGTTTGTGGCGGATGACGAGATAGGTGGGTTTGGGGGCAGTTATTTAGTTTTGAAAGTTCGTGGTGCATGTGGGTGCCAGAAAGCGTTTCATAGCCGGGTTTGGGATAAGGGGTCGCGTGCGGTGGGTCGATGGCACGCCTGGCTGGACAGGCAGGCGCGCGTCGCTCAACTGGTCAGAAAACAAGTGACGCCAATCTCTGTTGACCTTGCATCCTGGCCGCTGCTGTTATATTCTGTCGCGTTCAACCGTCAAACCGCAATCCTCCAGGCACCGTGAACGGCGTGCAGTCAAGCATGCAGAGCCTTTTCGAGATCTTCTCGTTCGTGGCTGGCTCGATCCTCAGCAGACCAGACCAGTTTCACTGGCTGATGCTGGGATCGTTGGCATCAATATCCACCGCCGGCATCCTCTACGCATGCTACGCATTGGGTTTCGGGCCAGGCAGCGGCGGCGGCGCCAGCGGCTGGGGGCGGCGGCAGCCGTATCAGCAGCTGAGCGAGGTGGGCGCAGCAGTAGATGGCGGCGGCGGCGGCAGGGACGGGGGCGGTGCCGAGGATGGAGTCGGGAGTGCATAGACAGAGAGTTAGCGCTTGAGAGAAGAGGACTGCGGATTGGTGGCGTTGGATCCTGCAGAAAAGATCGCTGCTGATGTCTGCCCGAGGCTGAGCTCCCTGCGCTGCAAGATGCGCACCCTGTTCGTCAACCGTCGTACTTTCAACTTTTCGCGTCAAATTCCCGTCTTTAAGCTTAATCATACCCTGGGGTGTGATGCGCGCCTGCACAAGGGTGGGTCAGTGTGTTTTGTTCCAGAATGCAACGATGCATCCCCTGACAAGCGTGGGGGATTGGCACAGAATCACGCTTCTCAAAGGTCTGAGGCCGCCTATATCAAGCCCCTTGCCGTACTACCATGGCTGCTCAATTGCTGATAGCGGAGAAGGTGCCATATCACGGAATTGGCGGTTGCGTGATCACCCTCGAAAAATTCCTTGGACGGAAACGATCAATTAGATTTGGTACCAATTGATGTTTACTCGCTTGCTGCCTTCCATCGCAGCGTTGCATGACCGGCAGATCACCTCGGGGCACCGCCAGGATGCGCTGGCTGCTTAGCGCCCTCGTGGCGCTGCTGGCTGGGAGCAACTTGGTAATACGTACAGGTATGGGCGCTCATCATATCAAACGAGGCGGACGCAACGGGTCGGCAGCCTGCGGCGCAACGATCTTGTCCTCGCCAGCTGCCATCAGCTCCTGAGCCTCGTCATCTCTCCAACCCCCCACAGATGCACAGATGCCGCCTTTCCCCCAGTTCTTGCCGCTGCTGTCACCGCTGCCGCCGCTGGCACCGCCGGCCAAGGGAACATCCTTGTTCGCTCCCCAGCAGTCACCGGCCCCTGCTGCTGCCGCTTCGCCGGCCGCGGCGCCAGCCGCCGCATCACCTGCAACTCCCGCGCCTGTGGCAACAGCAGCACCCGCTGCGTCGGCTTCTCCGTCAACAACTGCCGCGCCGGCCGAGTCCGTCGCACCGGCTACCTCGCCCGCGCCGGCCACCGCTGCGGCCCCGTCTGAGAGCCCCGCCGCAGGCGCGGCCCCAGCGCAGGGCGGCGACGTATGGGCCTCGGTGCCTGCTTGCCCCACTGCGCCCAACAGCACCAACTCAGTCGAGGTGGGGTGGCTTGCAGGCAGGACGCCGCACCGCAGGGCCAGCCAGATGAGTCCCCGGGGGTGGGCGCCACCTGCTGTGACGCACCTCGAACTCCCTGCTGGGGATTCGAGCTCACCGCAGGCACTGCCATCGTGGTTTAGATAGGGGAAATCCAGCCTCAGAAATCCAAGGAGCCAACATTGTATTCTGCAGCTCACCCCGATGCTGCGTCACAGCGCATCTGATGCAGCAAGCATGGTTCCCTTCAACCTCCGCTGTCCGCGGCCCCTGGCGCCCGATAGTCCTTGATTCTCCTGCCCAAGCCAATCCAACGACGATCCCTCGCGCCCTCAGGACCACAACTACCGCCTCTGGGGCACCGACGCCGCCGGCAAGTCCTGCGCCTACAAGGCGCCCGACGGCACCCCCCTCTACTACCCGACCTACGCCCGCTCCTCCTGGGACACAGCGCCGCCCTGCCGCGGCGCCCCGACGGACCCCGGGGCCGCGCCCAAGGCCGACACGGAGGGGCGCCAGTGGGGGTGGCAAGATGAGAAGCCCTGTGCCTACAAGGGCGCTGCCGCCAACACCGCTGCGGGCAATGCGACTGCCCCCTCCCCCTCCCCCTCCCCGTCGGCCACACCTGCCGCGCCGGCCGAGTCCCCGCCGCTGCCCCCGGCTGCGCCTGCTGCGCCCGAGGCTGCGGGTGGCAACGTAACGGCCGGGAACGCCACCGGTGGCGGTGCCGCTGGGGGCAGCTGCCCGGACGGCAGCAAGCCGGTGGCCTGTGCCGTGAGCCCGTGCAGCACCGTGCGGTGCGCCGAGAACTACACTTGCGTGGATGACTTCTGCGGCGGCTGCAACGCGTTGTGAGTGGGAGCGAGATTTTGGGGTGTTTCTTGGGGGTCGTCAAGCCGCGTGGCCCCTGTGATGGCCTCGCCACCAGAGGGGTGATGCGACGTGCTGGCCCCCAGCCCCATCGATGCCCTCAGGCCTGGGCTGCAGCAGCTGCTGCTGACTCTGCAGGTTCGACCTGGCCCGACCAACAAAAACGTCACAGCATCCCCACAGGCTTGCTAGCTCATCTGCTGTCGGTCAGGTGAACGCTTTCGTTGAAAAGCAATGGAGACGAAATGAACTGCGAATCCCTAACCCCGCCCCTCGTACGAGCAGTTGCGTCAAGTCAGAGACCCCAAAGCCTCCCTCTGCCGCCAGCGCTGCCCGCCGCCGCGCACGCAAGCTGCTCCAGGAGCCCCGCCGCCGCCGGCTGGCGCAGCAGGGCGGCAGCAGCTTTGCCAGCGCCATAGCTCAGGCCTTTGGCCAGGGGGACGCGTCCGCCGCCGCGCGCGCGATCGCGCAGGCGAGCGCGGCCGGCGACGTGGGCGCGCTGTCGAGCGCCATCTCGCAGGCGATCGCTGCTGGTGAGCGCCGGCTGGTGATGCCGGCGGAAGCTGCGCCTGCGATGCAGCACGCCTGTACACACGCGGGAACCAGCGCGTGTCCACTCAGCCTGTTCACCTGCGGGGTGTCATCGGCATTGATTACGCGCCTGTGTTTGTCACATGGATCTGCTGCTTGCTGGACATTCGGACTGCCAGCATCTACACAATTAGGAGTGTATCATTTCCCCAGTCCAGCTGAGAATGTTGCGACTCAGCCTCTATGCGAGCTGCTCATATATAGATGCCCCAACCACACCTCAAGCACACTTCCCCTTTGCGCGCAGGCAAGGCCAATACGGTCGCCAACGCTCTGGTGCAGGCCTCGACATCTGGCGGAGGCAACGCCTCCACCATCGCCCAGGCTGCGGCTCAGGCCACGACAAAGGCATCTGGCGCGCCCGCTGGGCAGGTGCACTTGTATGCGTGCGGTGCGTGTGCGCCTGCGCTCGTGGAGAGAACCGTGTGGATGAGTCAGGATCGATATGTGGTACATGCCTGAATTATGTGTGTTGCCCTATACTTGCGCTCTCTACATGTTATGCGTGTTTGGCTGACTGCATTCAAGACCTCGGGCTGTGCAGTCAATTTCTCCTGGTTGGTTGTTGACCCATGCAGCCTGGAGTCTTTGCAGCAAATACTGTCACACATCCGTCTTTGCCACCCAACCCACAACACACCACGCAGCCCGCGCCGTCGCCTGACACCCTGGCGAAGGCCATCAAAAGCGGGGACACCTCCGCCGTCGCCAACTCCCTGGCCAGCTCCACGGGAGGTGAGCGGGCGCTACCATCAATGTGGGCGGGGGCGCACCCGCCGGCGCAGCCCGCCTGCATCCAAGCGGAGCGCGTCAGCCGTACTGCTCACTACTTTTGGTTGGGGCTGGTACCCCTGCTTCGTCGTCTTTCAAATATTTCACAGTGGTACTGCAACGTGTACACCATGAACAGGCTCGGTCACCTCTGTATCGCGCGCCAGCAGCGCCACCCTCACCAAGGCCGCGGCGTCGGCCGGCGCCGCCGCGAAGTCCGCCGTGCGCGCCGCGTGCAGCCAGGGCGCCCAGGCCGCCGCGTCCGCGCTCGCGACGGCCGTCGCCAGCGCGACCGCTTCCGCATTTGCGGAGGCTCAAGGCACCGTCACCGTCAAAGGCTCCGGCTCGGGGTGCGCAAACGCCGAGGCGAGCGCGCAGGCGGTGTCCAAGGCGGTCGCGGCGGCGGTGGCCGAGGCCTTTGCCAACGCAACCGGCGGCTGCGGGGCCGCGCTTGCCTACGTGAAGGCAGAGGCGCTGGCTCAGGTGCGGACGGCGCAGCAGGCACACCTACCTGCCACTGCCCTATGCTCCAAGATGCCGCAGCTTCTCAATGGATACCTCGGCGGATGCGTCATCGGCGCGGCAGGGCGCCCGTCTTGCGGGGCTCGCGGACAACTGTGGTTGTCAGGAGCCTTGCATTGCGGCCGGCTTTTCATATTCCCTACCCTGCTTTGGCGGCGAATCGTACAGTCAACGTGTCCCTCCTATGCCGTCCCTTGCCACCCCTGCAGGCAATCGCCAGCGCCACTGCGAAGGCTTCAGCCCGCGCCTGTTCCACGGGTGAGTGCCCTGCGGCGCTTTCGCACTCTTCTTCAGCCGACCCCAGCACAATGTAGAGACTGGATCGGACGCGCGGGGTCGCGTGCAGCGAGACAGCAGCTGCTGCTTTCACTCCATCATCGCTTAGATTACGGCTGGGCGGCCCTGCTGAACAACGATCGAATGCCACACGGGGATCTACATTCTCATGCATGGAGACTTCTCACTAACCCGCAGGCGGCACAGCGTCTGCCTCCGCCCAGGCCATCGCCAACGCTGTTTCGAGCTCCACTCAGCAGTCGTTTGCGCAGGCGCTCGCCGCCGCCATTTCACCCCAGTGCAACGCGTGCAAGGGTGGCGCCGCCCGCGGCGGTGGCGCATAGACGGCCCCCACCCCCGGGTCCACGCCCGCCAGGGCTGCTGGCCAACCGCCGCGGTCCCTTCTGCCAACGGGGCGGCCGCCGCAGTACGCCAGGGCCGTTGCGAGGGACTGCTGCTGCCGCGGCCCCAGCGAGGCGTGCTGAACTTGTGCAGGACAGCCCCTGCCGGTTTTCTTTGGTGAGCGGCCGCTGGTGGTGTGGCGCAGCGACGAGGCTAGGGGGAAGTGCAGGTTGTGAGGGGGGAGGTGAGAACCGCGGCCGCCGGCTGCAGGAAGCACCCAAGCAGCTGAAGGGCAGCTGCTGCCGGGCAAGCTGCCGAAGTGCAAGTGTTTTTTGAGTGCTTTGAGGGTGATCCTGTGCGAAAGCCCCAGTTTGACGGAACGCAATACACTACAAACGCTCCCAGAGGCCAGTCAAATGAATAATTTGTGACAAGGTTCGGTGCCGGGCCTTGCGCTCGATGCATGTGGCTGCTGCAGAGTGTGTGATGCGTACCAGGATGCGTGCGTGTGCAGAGGACCCTTAGTCGCTTGCTTCAAGTGTGTGCCTTGTAATCAAGGAATGCTAGCACACCTTAGTCAAGTTTGATTGAGAAGGACCTATAAATGTTGGGGTTGGATTGGCGAGTGCTGACAGCCGGCCACCAGCAGGGCGACAGCGTGAGCAGCACTGCGAGTCGCGCGGACTGCGAGCGCCGCAGCCTGGCCCCGGCAAAGATATGTGGCAGCAATCTGTGCGCCAAACCACAATGTTCTACGCAAATAAGTGGTTTTTGCATGCGAGTAGAAGTTGACAGTTACGGGTACAAAAACAGCACGAGATCGCTGAGATCGTTTGACCATCGCAACATCGGTGATGGGCTATACACGGTCGGTATTTCCTCCGGGGACACCACACCATGCCGCGGAGATTGGCAGCCTGCAGGAGCTGCAGTCCCTGGTGGCGGAGGGCGCACGCCGCGGCTACCCCGCCGCTGTCGTGCTGCAGCAAAAAGATGAGATCCTGGGCGCGCAGCCGCTTCACGTTGCGGCGGAGAAGGGACGCGTCGAATTAATCAAGGTACGCCGTGTAGCAAACCCCACGCCTGTGGCCTGCGCACCCCTGTGACTGCCGCTGCACCAGCCGCGGCCCCGCTCGCGGCCCTTGCAGGCTGACTCAGCGGGGCTCCCCAAAACGCGCAGTACCTGGCGCAGCAGGGAGTGGATTTGGATGCAGGCGACGGCGCTATGGACACGGCGCTGCACCTAGCGGCTGTCAAGAACCATGCGGCAAGCGTGGTCGCCCTGCTGGATGCAGGTGGGTCGGCTGCTGGCCGCTGTTGCACACTTGCTGACTGCACACCCCGCCCTCCGTTATGCGCCGGGAAGGTCGCAAGCATGCGTCCAGGCGCGCGCGGCCGCTGCTGAGTTGTCGTTTGGCGTGGTTTCTCACTTCGACGGCGGTTGATTGCAGTGGGGCCCTGCGTCCTGCCATCGTGGCCCCATCCGAGCCGCAGGCGCTAATCCGACGCGCCAAGATGCCTCTGGTGACCAACCCCTCCACTGGGCCGCCACAAAGGGCCACGTGCAGGCGCGCATGACACGGCGCACCCTGCCAAGAGAGCCGGCCATACAGGCCTCGCCCTGCTGCATGACGCGATTCTACGCGTTGCATGCAGCCTCACCGATGATATATGCAGCGAGCATGCACGCCGACGTGCAGCGCGCAGGTCAGGTGCATGCATGCATGCATGCATGCGTACACGCACTACATCGGGTCAAGGCTGTGATCCAGTCCGAGGGCCCTCCGGCTCCCCATATGCACGCCCGTGTGCTGCCCAACTGCAGGTGATTGAGCTGCTGCTGGACCGCGGGGCCACCATCGACGCCGCAAACCGCCTCGGCTGGACGGCGCTGCACAGGTGCGGGCGAGGTGGGTCCGGTGACGCGTGTGTGGGAACGCGCAGCGTCTGCTGAGACAGTCGGTCATCTGACGGTCACCCGTTTCAAATGGTCAAGATGAAGGACCAATTGCCGCTTGCAAAGACGCTGTGCTCGGCAGTTGCGCGCAGCCAGAGCAGCCGGCGGCACCTGCACTCCTGCCTGCCCGCAGGGCGGCATACTGCGGACGCGTGGCGGCGGTGCGCGCGCTGCTGAGGCGCGGTGCCGGCATCCTTGCGCTGACAGGGGAGCTGCTGGTGCGCCTCTGGGCCTTTGCAGGGCCTTTGTTTGCAGTATAATCCTCTGCAGAATCGGACGCCGTCACATGCCTGGCCTGCACTGCAGGCTACACGTGAGTGGCACTCACGTGTGTGCTAGCAACTGGCGCACGGCACCCGCCTCGGCCATGCAGCACGCTCTCCGAAGTGGGACGCGCTGCGCGCCCTCCCTGAACACCCCTCCCCGCCCTGCCGCGATCAACACTGCCTGCTGTTCCCCGGCGCCCACCTCGCTTGCCTTCACCCCGCCTTTCACCCCCCCGCGCCAAACGCCACGCGCATCGGCAGACGCCGCTCCACCTGGCCGCAAAGAACAACCAGCTGGGCGCGATGGACGCGCTGCTGTCCGCCGGGGCGCGCCCCGAGCTCCGCTGCGCCGCAGGCCAGTCTGTCGCGGAGCTGTGCGTGGGGGACGGCGCGCGGGAGCTGCTGGAGCAGTTTGAGGCGCGGCGGCGCCAGCGGGAGCAGGCGCGCAGGGAGCAGCAGCAGCAGCAGCAGCAGCAACAGGCACAGCAGCAGCAGAGGCGGGGCGGGCGGCCGCAGCCGCCGCGGCCGGCGGCCGCTCAGGGACAGCGTGATCAGCTGCAGAGTGACGCGGCCGGGGGCGCCATGGAGGGCGGGGATAAGGCGGCGGTGGTGGGGGCGGCGGCGGCCGCCCCTGGCGGCGGCAGGCCCGCGCTGGAGAAGAGGCGCGTGTCAAAGGCGCCCTTGATGCCCCGCTTCAAGCCCCAGGATGAGAGGTGCGGCCGTCCATAGGGGGCACACCCAGAAGACAGCGTCTGCGTCCAAGTTTTGCCAACACGAAGGCGCTGCGTGAAGGAGGGGGGGACGGCCAGAAACGAGCAGGGCAGCAGCCGCGGCACTTGCTTCAACGGCTGGCTTGGGTGTGCTGTGCATCGCTTCGACCTGGTATTCGAGTGCAGACGCACGCGGCCCCGTCCACCTGCCGTGCAGATTCGATAGCGACGGGTTCCCGCTGGCGGCCGCGGCGCAGGGCGGCGCGGAGGAGGAGGCCGAGGACGACGAGGACGGCGGCACGCTGTTCGTCGCCGCCGCCGCGGCCGGCGCCGCAGACTGGCAGGAATCGGCGCGCGAGGA